AATGGGAATTTCAAGCAAGGCCTGGCCTTTTGTAATATTATATTCTTTGGTGGGATTGTCGATGAAGCAAACGTATATTTGCTATAACAATCGACTGCGTTACTTATTTTTCGTATTTGAGTATATTTTTAAGACTACCAGTAAATCAGTAATATGAGATGTATTCACCCTATTTCATTTAAGGTGATGAAGGACTGGTAGTTGGTTTTTCCCACGAATGTCCTTGGGTCACAGGCATTTTCCACATTACATTCTGTGTTGGGATTGTCGATGAGGCAAACTAATATTTGCTATAGCAATCGACGACATTACTTTTTGCTGGTGGTCTCGAAGACCCAGTCACTCATGAAAAAAAGAGACTACGACCAAACATATCTGCGATTTACTAACGCCGACACACGCTTTTGCTTGGCATGTTTAGCTGCTGCAGCAGATGCGCGAGAACCAGATCTACTTCTTGATCCGGTTTCCGCATCCGGGCTACTTCAAGCTGCAGATCTACGCGCTTCCGCAACACGAGGTCGGCGACTCGCTGCCTAGCGTCTACAACTACCTGCTCGAGGCGACTCAGGCTCACCGCGGCCGAGTCAGTCTGGCGGCAGTACCGTTTCCAACACAATTCGCCCAGTGGAAAGAGGGCTGCTATCTGCACCAGCCGATCGACGGTCTGCTCACTCGGCCGACGAGTGTTGCCGGCGCGGGGACCAACAACGATTCGATCACCTTCGCCGTGACAGTTCCACGCGCCCGCTCCATGGCTGCTGTGGTCGGCGACGAATGGACGCATCTGGAGCTGCAGGGCGATCGCTGGAACGGTCGGGTGCCAATGCGGAAACACTGGGGCCGAGAGCCCAGCCTGGCTTTGTGTGCAAACTACCGCGATTCCGACTCGAACTATGTGACTCTTTTAGAATACACACTGGGCAGATGAGCCAGCGCTCTCTCCGCATTCGGCGGTGCCACGAAGGTGGAGCGAATGTAGGCGTCTGTCGATGGGCTCGATGTTCTGTACATCGGATGGACAGTCACCTGCATTCGGCCCCTCTTCTCCATGCAGCTACAGTCGTGTCACTCGGCCAATTCATCTGCCAGCCTCTTGACTGCTCTCGTATTCTTTCGCCATCTCCACTTCTGGCTGAAATTATTTTCACCCATCAAACCATCCATCTTTGTCTATCTGCACTTGTATCCACGTTGTGCTCATCGAAATGTAACTTCTCCACTTCCACTGTGCAGTCCTACTGAGACAAGCCCACAAGAGGACTGTCTCGAACTGGAGTCTGTCTCAGTGGAACATGGTCTCTTCTTACAAATGATCTTCTTTTATTTGCCCCTCCCTTCCTTTCCCTCCCCCACTTGATGACAGTCTGGCAGGGTACTCATTTCACCGTCGTCAACGGAACTCCTTCGTTGGGCGTTTGTCAACTTATGATTCTTCTTCAACATGCCTATTGCTTATTTTCGTCTTCTTTGTCTTCCCACCCCTTTGGTGCCTTACTTTTTCCTCTACTCTCTTGGGTCAACTTATACGTGATGGCAACCAACTCCTGGACAACTCAATCTCCTAAATTCCTGAGTGACACTTCTCTTCTCGAATCGAACCTGCCTTCATTCACTTTCACATGCCTACGGCTAATTTGTATTCATAACAAATGTTATATCTTTTCAGGATTGCCTCTTCCTTTAGAGCATATCGCCCTTGACAGGCATCTCATGTGTGTTATCATTTATGTATGCCTTCATATACTCCACGTTATGTTCTCAGATTTTGTCTGTCACTGGAATAGCTCGTCTCATCCGTCCCCTCCCCCCAGCTTTGCTGTAAGCACAGACGAGTTTGTTCGTTCACTTTCCTTCAAATCAACACTTATATCAGGCTTATATGCTTTATAACCTCCTTTCGAATGTCCATGTGTTGGACGCGTTGGTAACTGAGGCTATGCCTATTCTGGGCGTTGAGTAATCCTCAGTCCTTTACGAATTTTTTGAACCACATCTGGTTGTTTAATCCATCTACACCACAAATAATTTATATTTTCTACTTATGAAAACCCAGATGATAAGGATACCTGCTGGAATGGAGTGCATACTAAAACTGATGTCAATTTTCGAAAGTTAAGCCTCAAATATATAAGTGATTATGAATGTTATATTATTCTTAAACTTATATGTATGTCCATGTGTGCATGGATGTGTACCTGTATTTATCTGTATTTGGCTATATTTGCATTTGAAAGAGCATACAGAACAATACGAAATAAGGCAGGTTCCATTTTATATTTGAACTAACCTTCCTCTCACCTGCATCTCCCGGTCAATTCGGAATTATAACTTTTTTTTATTTATCCTTGCTTATTGTGAACATGGCTTCCTCATTCACAAACTGCACATATTACCATGCTAATTCGCACCCAAATTGTGCAAGCTCATATTCTGCTTATACTAGCCTCTGTACCTTCGTACATTCTGTTATGGTGACAGTATTCGAAAAACTACGGTCATATTTTTTATCACTTGTCGGCTATGTAATTTAATTCTTTCGATTGAAATATGACTTGCTACGAACAATTCAACGAGGCTTTCTAGTATGTGAAATAATTAATGGCTAAATTTGCGGTAATGGCAAATTGAAGATGCAATCAGCGTTGGGCCTTAAAATTTATTCACTCTGTTTAAGCTAATGACATGATAAACTTATCCATTGCATGAATTACTTGCATTGAAGTACATAGGATATCGATTCTAGACTCATGACCCAACCTCTTTGCGTTATATCTTACCCACTATTACTTTGTTTAGTCATTTAGGACCATTCTACTTTGTATTATTGAGAGCGAAAAGTACAGAGACGCTGCATGACCACCTATGCTGGAGTACCCTTGATCCCATTTAAAGATATGAGTAGAAGGGATTTGTAAGTTGGCCTCACAGGAAGCCGAAGTAAGATTGCCTTAGAGTTGTGATTGTAGATTTGTGCGAATAAGTCCTCGGCTCACCATATCGCGACCCTGCTGAATCCTTGCCAGTCATGTGGCAGAAAAGGTCAGAGCTTTATGAAAATTCATCGATGAAGATGACGGCTGCAACCTTTCTTACCTATTCTAGCTTTCGTCGAATTAATGAGAGATCTAATAACTTGTATGGATATACACTATTTTCTCTACGTCCTTACTGATTGTGACACACCTTGAATTGCTCATATCCTTGATTGTGCAATGTTGATGCATGCGTCCATCGCACGCGTTATGAGCGCGCAATGCTCGAGTCACGGGAAATCGAAAAATTATACTCGAAGCTAACCAAACCTTTTCTTGTTCCCTTTCTCTAATCCTATCCAATCTATTTCGGTTAGACTTGTCTCAAACCCAATGTATGATTGGAAAAAATGGATCTAATCGGATCTAACCCTGAAGTCAAGTACTTGCGTGTAGAAAAAAAAACACTAGCCCACACGCCCCACGTCATACTAAACCACGGAAGCGCTGGCTGGACCGCAGCCGACTCGGAACGAGCTCAATCTGGGCTCGCGAATCCTGATTTAACCTCCCCTTAGCAAGCTTCGTGGGTTGACCATGTTTAGTCATTTTTTGATAAGAACATACTCGACTCGGCACGACAGGCCGTTTGGAGCGGCCCGCCAGGATGCAGAGAGAAGCTAAAATAGATGCCCCTTAATGCAGATAAAGAACCATCCATTCGATGAATGATCACGGGAGCGAGATAGCAGAAAACCATCACTCGACATGCCAAATTCAGCAAGCAAGTTTAAACAGGCCAATAAGCATGTTAAGACGCTGCGCCGAGTAGACAATAATACCATAGCGGCATAAATACGACTGAGAGCCTCAAGCATCGCTTTCCTCGACCTTAGCAAGCTATGACAGATAAAACCAATTTGCCACACCCAAGGACTGCGCCCCAGAACTGGCGTTAGTTAATCAGTAGCCCAATCTGGCCAGGCCCTGAGCAGGGGCTTTACTGCCATTTAATTTCACCTAGCCGTCTTAGAAGAGTTTCGCGTCGAGTCTATACCATCCTCAGCTCATAGTTAACATAGCCTTTGGGCCGTGGTGCAAAGATACGGTCAGAGCGGTTTATATTTTTAATTACGTCTCTCACGCGACCAATGAAACACAAACAGACATGTGACTCAGACACTTGCGGCTGTATCAGTGTCAAACCGTGGCCACATCCCGTGAGACGAAGCCTCGAAGTGGCGGGGACGACAAAATATGAACGTGAGGGTCACGATCCGCCCCGAAAGAGACGTTTAGATAAAATCGAGTGGCATCACTAGGCCCACTTTAATCAAAAGAGAAATCCCACGCTAAGAAATCGAGAATCATCCGAGAATTATTATTATAAAAATGAAGCACGCTACGCAAGGGAGAACTAAAAAGAAACATCTGCAGTTGAAACAATGATAAACCTGTCATTGATAGTTACCCATGAAAGTAAGCTAATTAAGGAATATCAGATTTCTGGAGTGATGCCGTTCGTGTCACCCACTACTCCTAGAACATGGTTAGCACGAGAGGACGAGGGTAAAAATTGAATGTTCGTCGGGAGCAAGATATTATTAATCGTGCCCACATTGAAGGCTGATAAAAGCGTAGCCAGTCTGCGAACAGCCGCTAAGTAACAAGTGGCCACAGCCCAAGAAGTTATAAAAATAGCAAGTCATGATAAAGGACTTAAATAGAATGCAAACGTAATAGTATGACAAAGAGCATTTAATCGGCAGCAGGTGCAGACGTGGTATCACCGGATTGCTTCTTAGAGCCAGAGAGGACATCATCAATACGCAGAAGTAGAATGGCTGTCTGATATAAGAATATAAAGAAATGAACAAGAAAATGATCAAATGAGTAATGAAGCTGTGCTAGATATTGAACGAGTTGCAAGTGCATATACTTATAAAATATTGGCCAATTTCATTTGAAAAGCTATTGAGCCTAAAGAATTCGTAATCTGTTTATGAAGTGTATGACTAAATTAAGCCATTAGAGCAATAGAGTAAACTAACCTCGATAGCCGTTTTAAATATTTGAGACTTGACAACAAGCGGGTCCCAAATCTTGAGCGCAGTCATGTCAGCAAGTTCACCGGTCTCACCATTCACTCCAATCGTCCAATTATTGACGGGATCAATAGCATGTCGGGCCCTAAGCTCGGTCATCTGACGAAGAACATTAGCACCACAATTTTGAACCAATGTACGAGGGATAACTTCGAGGGCTTGGGCCAAAGCAAGATAGGCCACCAGCTGCACACCAGAAACGGATGATTTTGCTTTTTGTGTGAGCTCCTGTGAAAGAGCCATCTCGATTGCGCCTCCACCAGGAACAAGATAGTGCTCAAGCATAATATTGCGGACGACATTCATCGCATCATTGAGATTACGCTCCACTTCGTTTAGTATATCTTTGCTGGCCCCTCTTAGGATAATCGTGCATGCTTTCGGATCCTAATAAATATAAACATAATTTCATCTTTTCTGATCTTCGTGCTGCAAAAACATGTAATAAACTCACTTTGCATTTGGAGATAAAAGTGAAATATTCATCTCCGATCAATTTGACTTCAAAGAGACCTGCGCCTGTACCAATATCCTCTTCTTTGATTTCATCAAAACTGCTAACGATTGTGGCACCACAGGCCCGGGCTATACGAAGGTTATCAGTCTTTCGCAAGCGCCTTATGACAGAAATACCAGCCTTTACAAGAAAATGTTGTGCCAAATCACTAACGCCCTTTTCGGTGACAACAACATTGGGCTTAAGCATTATAATCTGATCGCAAATTTCTTTAATGTACTCTTCTTCGATCTCAAGCGCTCGACTAGGAGAATGATGAATTATAAGAGCTTACGTGAAATCTTTCTCTGTTCCAACTTCAACCGAGGTTTGACTCTCCCCTTTTTTATATTCCAAGTTGCAGTCTAGAAGCAATATCCTTGGATCTGTGATTCTCCTGCTCATATGGGGGTGAACAACATCCTTGTTGAACATCACACCATCCAGGACAACTGAGTCGTCAATCGCCCCCCCAGGAATCTTGAAAAAAAGATGACCAAATGTCAATATACCTTTTCAACTTTTGCATAACGTTTAATATCAATCTCTTTGCGCCCGTCTATTTCGAACGCAACGGTCTTGACTGCATCGATAGCAATACTGCAGGCAAGATCTGCCCACTTGTTTATAAACTTGGTACCGATGCAGCTCTTGACTATATTTATAACGTCTTCCTTGTTATTAATATCAACGGAAATACTGTGAGGTAGAAAGAAAGCGACAATTACCGGAACTTGGACTGGGTGGCAGAAAGCATATCTTCTAGGGCTTGGCGAAACGCCGAGATGATTTTAGTGGGATGAATCTGCTTCATTAAACACGGTGTCGCAGCCGCAAGTATTTCACCAGCTAAACAATATAGAGATGAAATCAATACTACCTAATATTATGACGGATGTCGTGCCATCACCCACTTCTTCGTCCTGAGTACGAGCGA